TTGATGGATGGATAGATATATGCAAAACTAGATAGACAACTAGATGATGCATAGACAGATGCTAGTTAGCTGGATGCATAGATGGATCCACTGATAGATTATAAGCGGATCAATGTACATGGGTGGATGGAGAGATGCATAGATGGGGAGAGAGAGTGAGAAATAGGTATAGATAGATGATATATAGATAAATGGATGGATGGGTGGACAGATGAGAGAGCGACAAAGAGAAAAAGATAGGATAGGTAGACATATGCATAAACAGATGGGACAGGTGGACAAGTGGATAGAATGATAGAGAAACAAAAAGATAGAGAGAAAGAGCAGATACGTAGCTGTGTGCTCCAGGAGGGCATGGATTTTAGTTTGTGTTTCATGATAATTATTTTCACCTGTTTTGAATAGCATTTGGCACATAGTACATTTTCGATGGATGAATGGAGGGGTGGATGAATGGATGAGAGGTAAAAGAGAGGAACAACAAGAGCAAGGGTGAAGGCAGAACTGATAACAAACCTTTATGGGTCTAACAGTTATCTAAAAAATTAACCCATCTGTCCAGAAGAAAGGGATCTAATCTCTTAATGGTAGATAGTATTGAAGAGAATGCCAATTTCTAATAGAATGCCGATTTCAAATTGTCCCCCAAAAGTACATATTTGAGGCTTTTAGAGTTCTCTGATCTTTGTTTTGTAACATTAATTCTGGAGAGGGGCTTAGACTCTGGAGGGTCTTCAATCTCTCTCCTCTATCCGCTCACTCCCCACTCTTCCTTTCTTCTTGTTGCACAAGAATACATTGAACATCAAATCTTTTCCTGTACCAGGCCAGGCACCGAGGGCTCTAACATACTTTCCCCTGCATCAAGATGCTCACGTGTTACTGGAAGTGAGAAACAGGTGAACAGATCAAAACATGGTAAGTACAATGATAGAGGTAAATCCAGGAGATGTCGGAACCAAGAGAATTGACGTTCGGCCATTCTAGGGGATCAAGGAAGGCCACCCAGAAAAACTGGCTCCTCAAGTAGGCCCTGAAAGATGGGGAAGAGTTGACCAGTTAAAATACTGGGCAGCAGCTTACAGGACAAGGGTAGTGAGGAGAAAAATCAGACTTAGGAAGTATATTAATCCGGTTAGACCAGCTGCTGTAATAAACATTCCCAACATTTTAACGACTTCACAAAATTCAAGTCATCTTTTTCTCATCAGGAAGCTATCCAGATCAGATGCTACTGGTCAGGTGGTGCTACTGGTTTGCTCTTTTCCAAATGGACCGGGCTTCTTCCATCTTCTCGGTCCTTGCACTCGTCACCGTTTATCCAGAAAATGGGGAAAATGGATGGTGTCACTCTAGGAGGATTTCATAGGCCAGAACTAGAAAGGGAGCTCTTTGAATCTCTCACCCACTTTCACTGGCCAGAAAGCAGTCATCTCGCTGCCCCTAACTGCAAGGAGGCTGGAATATGTCATTTAGCTGAGTATCCAAAGCACCAAAAAGACTCATTTCGCCAGTGTTGAAATAATCATACTGATTCCCTCCCCTTCTACCGCCATCAAGCCCTGAGCACTTGTGAAGCTCTCACACCATCTGCACCAACACAAAACCACCTGGTACCCACTGCATTGTCATCACAAGGTATCGAGGCTTCCTCTCAACAGCCGAAGGGCAGATTTTGGAAAGGACTTCACTCCCCACTCCTGGTTTCTAAGCAACAATGACACAAAGGGACAATCTGGAAGACCTCATTCTGGGTGTTTTCACATCAACTACCCAGCTTGAATCACAAAAATAATAGAGATGAGACAAAGAATAGGAGGAAGAGAAGACGAGAATTCCTCAAGTTCCATCATCTTGCCTTTCTTGGAAGGGCATCCATTTAACAAATAGACCTTTTCCAGCTCCTCTGTGTTTGAATCTTTGCCGACAGCTGAGGATGTTTCGTGAAGACACAAAGATTCAGTCCTTTTGGGAAAACGACAGTGACTATCTAGTGTGGCTTAGAACAGCAGAGTTACAGAGGATGAAGGGGGCATCTAGGGAGGCTGCTGCTTCCAGTAAGTAGGATGGGGACTGAGAAGTGAGTGTAGTTTGCCCAGTGAAGGGA